ATATATATATATATATATATATATATATATATATATATATATATATATAAAAAAATTGTACTGTGAAATGCAACAGATTAGCTACAAAGGAAATCAGGAAGGAAAAGATTGTAAAAGTTCTTTCAGCACATCTTATCAAAACAGCAGTCATTATGATGTTAAATCCCACTTAAAACAAAGCTTATGGCAAACTCAGACTTAAGGCAGCTGGCCAAGCTCTTTGGGATATCATTTGCTGAGTGTAACATACCTTACATTCCATGCAGTGGTGAAGTCTGGGTTTAGTAGCAGCAGCGTACACGTGATATCTATCAATTCTAAAAGATTAAAAACACAAACAAAACACATGAATGATTAACAGTGGTAAAATAAAACATCAATGCTTCTCCCCTCTTTATGCCTCCATACTTCCTCAAAGCCTCTTCTCTCTGACTTGTTCTTACTGCAACACACCTCTGTAAATATTGCTGAGTTCCAGTCCAGAGAAAGAGGTAGCTCAAACTGGAAGGATGACACACAGTTGGTTTAGTTTCTTCGCCTTCCATAGTAAGTACACCTCTACCTCGATATAACGCTGTCCTCAGGAGCCAAAAAAAAAAAAATCTTACTGTGTTATAGGTGAAACCACGTTATATTGAACTTGCTTTGATCCACCAGAGTGCGCAGCCCCGCCCCCCCAGAGCACTGCTTTACCACGTTATATCTGAATTCATGTTATATTGGGTCGCATTATATTGATGTAGAGGTGTACTTAAAATAAGTCCCACCTCTTGGATTCACTGATCTCTACAAACTCCACTATTATAACTTGGAATCATGACTCTCCTCCCCCTGGACAACTATGATTCAAAAAGACAATATTCTCAAGTGAATTAAAAGCTATTGGATAGTTCTGAAACAGAGATTGTATGAGATCTTTGAGCATTCTAGTCCATTTAGTTATTAAAATTGAAAATACACTGTGACTTAAACGCACACAAAGTTCTTAAAGTTGTTGAAAAATTGTTGATTGAGATCTTACCACTCAAAACTACAATCATCTCCTGGAACAGCGTAACTAATTTTTTTTTTTTTTAAATATGGAGCTATCCTATCTCCTAGAACTGGAAGACACCCTGAAAGGTCATTGAGTCCAGCCCCCTGCCTTCACTAGCAGGACCAAGTACTGATTTTGCCCCAGATCCTTAAGTGGCCCCCTCAAAGATTGAACTCACAACCCTGGGTTTAGCAGGCCTATGCTCAAACCACTGAGCTATCCCTCCCCCCTTAGACATTGGTCTAAGAACTCTGAACTGCAGATAGCAATTTGCTATAGCTGTTCTATGCCGCACACTTTTACCTGTAACTAAATAACCACTGCAAAAATTGCACCTATGGAAGGGAAAAATCCCCCACAACTATGGATTAGGAACAGAGAACATCACAAATTCATTTAGTAAGTTAGAATCATAGAATCTTGCACAACTACGTAACAGAAAATACTTTTAAATGATTCTGAATAGGCTGCCTCTCCAAAGATTGAGATACTATGACTAATCACTAAATAAGAAATACAGACATATCCATAAACATCTGTTTGCCTACTCCCCTTTAGACACTGTAGCTTTCTACATATATTTAATGATGTAATAAAACTGGAAGGAGCTGCGTGGGTGGCTGACAAACAGAAGAGTTATTTTATTCTAGCCTTGCCTTTCCTTTCCCTCCTGTATTTTGCTGCACTAATCAATTAGTTTGATGCCTACCTAGGTAAAAAAAGCTTAGTGTTATGTGCAGCCTCTCATAAAACACAGTGATAATTCTCAATGTCTCAGGTTTGGTTCTTTAACTCTTGCTTCCAAAAGTCACAAGATCAGGTCAATTAATCTTCCCCAGCATTACAATTCTTAAATATAAATGAGCTGGGTAAGGAGAAGCAGCAGCATACAGATCTTCTCCAAAATACAAGCAAAATTATCAGTGCTTTTGCTCGCAAGACTGTTAGTCTAGATTCCTTACTGTTCATAATATATTCAAAAAGGTTGTACACCAAAGTAATTTGCCAACAAAACAAGTATTTTCAGTTCAGCTGCATCCTCATGAAGAAGCAGCACTGGATTACAATTTGTTTTAAGAGCTAGGGAAGGGGAGAAAAAGCAAGGGGTATCTGCAGGGAGCTAAATCCATGGATGGTTCAATTAAAATGACTGGACATACAGAAAACTAGTAATCAACTGACTATATTAACTACAATGGGGAACATTAATCCCTCAAGCCCCAGGGAGGTCCACAAGCAATTCTCTGGGCTAGCCTAGCCAGATTCACCCTTCATTTGGTATTTCTGCCAGAAAAAGGTGAATTTAATCATGTGAAGTTCCATAGCCTTGGCCATCAAGGCTCCTGTCTAGGAGCCTAAAGCAGTTAATCAGTTCATCCCTTGGCCACGTTATCAATATGCTCAAGTGCAGCCAGTACCACCCAGTTACATAAAACTTGGAAAAAATAAATAAATTGTGTATTAGAGATGAGACAGAGTCCTGTATCTGAATTTTAATGGTTTGGGCAAACTGGGACCTGAAACCAGCTCACGCAGGCCCTGATCCAGCAAAGTACTTAAGCACATGCTTAATTTTAAAGTATGTGAATAGTCCTATTAAAGTACATGGGATTACACATGTGCTTAAAGTTAAACATGTGATTAAGTACTTTGCTGGTTACAGGCCTAATGGTTTTGGTTTTGCTAACCCAAAACTTGACCAACGAGGCTTAGCAAAAGCACTGCTGGTTTTATCCATTACTAGATCACCACAAACATCAAGTGATGCAACAAAACCAATTTAGGAGTGCGCAGTAAGTTGTGCCTGCTTCAGACACATCTTTTTCATAATAGCGTCTCAAAAATGAGAAGCAATGATAAGAAAATGGAATATTTAAAATATTTGGATTTTTTTAAAATACTATTTATTTATAGTTACAGACATGATAAAAGGCAAAAGCTCTGAATACACCACCATTACTTTAAAAAAAACCCACCACATATTATACAAACATGTCAGACTTATCCTTTTTCAAAATAGATCAAGATAATAAAGGAGATAATGACTCTTCTAAAGTAAATTCACCACAAATGCAAGATTCATCTAAGCAACCTACTAGATGACAAAATGGTCATTTCTTGTAAGGAAGAAAATACAGAGATGGACATACATCACTGCTAAATGTGAACCAGCATAACTCCCCCACTTGGGCAGTTGGGATTTTCATATAATTCCTCTGGTGGCTTCTCCAATCTGTGATTATTAAAACAGAAAAATCTCTTGAATGTTCAGTATTATAAATTGCAACCTCCTTTCCTCTCAAGACAAGAAAGAGCCCTGAGCATCTTATTTTGTACATTAATAAATAAATGCTTAACCTAAGGTATTACCAATTCCTGCAATGTAACTCATCACTGGTATGGTATGTTTTCCTTCCTTAGCCCATTCTTTAAGTAATATTATAGGTGGGGCAGACAGCACTGCCTATGATTAAGGTTGCCTGACATACCCATTATAAGACCCTGTTTTCAGTTGCTTGTAACTTGGCCAAACTTTAACCATTTGGGTTGAATTTTCCATGCTGGATAACTGTCTCATGCTGAAAGTTTTTGGAAAATTTCACCCAGAATGGTTCAGCTGTTTCTGAGAACAAGGCTAAGAAGAAGAAGAAGAAGAAAAAAAATTGGAAACATTCTCTTTGAAATACTCTAGTGCCCCCATACTTCGGAGCAGAGATTTGAAATTTGGAAAGGAGCGCCCTTTGTCAGGAATGTGCCTTTTTCCTGTCCTTGTGGAAATCCACCCAAAATTTGGCCATATTATAAGCCTCTGGAAAAAAAACTGCAATTTGAACTTGCTCGGTAATTGGGGTCGAGTGAGGTGGGGCCAGCCACAGGAACCAAGAGCATGTCTCTCCTGTGTTCTCAGTGACCCCGTGGCTGGCTTCAAAGGCATGTGGGACAAAACAAAACAAAAAAACCCACAAAAAAAAAAACCACCACAGACCAAGGGAAGGGAAAGTACTAGTTTAAGACAAGGAGTCTGGTAAGACTGGCACTGGAGGAGAGAGAAACTGGCTAGGAAGCCAGGAGGAGAATGACTGGGAGCCAGCAGGGGGGTGGTGAGAAAGCACAGACTGCATGAGGAGCTGGAGGGAGACTGGGACTGACTGGTCAAGGAAACTATGTTTGGGTGTGGGGTCAGGGAGGAAAACTGGAAAGTCAGTGGGGAGATTGGGACTTAGCAAGCCTCAAGGGGGAAAAGTAGGATTGGCTGGGCCAGCAAACTGGTACTAGGATGCACAAGCAACCTTAATTCTGGCTTTTTCCTAGCTTTTGAGTGCTTGACTTTAAAAATCATTGTTAAGGTTGCAATTTTGTTTTTGTGTGTAATTATTATGTAGCCTGACTATACAATGGGTCAACTGTGCTAAACAAAGTTTTAGCTAAGCTAAATTGGACATTAAAAATAGTTTAAAAACAAACTTTGTTTATACTTGATGTGACTGCACTTGCCAAACTAATGTTAATTAATCCTATTAAGAATTACAACCATGTATCAGACAAATTTCCAAGTTAGTGCACCTTATTATGTCAAGGATCAGGAACACCACCAACTTGAAGTCTAGTCAGTTTAAATGGAATAATAAATAGAGAGTTAGAGTAGTTTCAGAGATAACACTTCTGTACCTCTGTCTTTTGTGACTATAAAAAAATAAAAATCACATTTTACTATGTTAAAAATATTTCACCCCCTAATGCCATGTGAAAAACCCACATAAACAAGGGAAGCCAATTGACTATATAGGGAATAGAGTGAAACTATACAAAAAGTGTTGTCAAATGCATGAAGAGGACAAACAGAAAAAGTACACTTCCTTCACTTAGAGTCATCTTAGCCATTACTTGCAAAAATAGCAGATAATTTTTTCTTAGAGAAGTGAGGATTTTGAGTCTATGGTTCCCTTTATGAATTTTAGGGACATTTTTTGCCATTCTTTCCATGGAAAGCCATGTGTCAGCCATAGGACAAAATAGGAGTGGTTTTCTGCTGCTCCTTTATTTATCCTGTGACAGTACTGCAAAAGCAAGACATGCCTTATGGTCAGATGATTTGGTTACTTTTTAATTCACTTTTAGCAGGTCTTTGCTGCTGGGTGAGGTTTATGCAGAATGCAGCAGCATACTTGCTCATTGCACAGGGCTGCTTTCAGAGAGGAGAGTCTCTTCAGCTGCAAGAAGTGAATGCGGCCCTAGATTCTGTACGTTTTTTTATTTATTTTATTTTCTGGTACAGCCAAA